TGCTTCTTCTCCCTCCATAGAGGAGAAGTGATTTGGCTTAAGCCCACACAGTAAAGTAGACTGACCCTTTCCATGTAGACTGAACCTTTCCATGTCCCAAAAATGTTTTTGAATCAGCAAGTTACATCTTTTCTTCAAATGCAGGGACTTGTCTCAACTTAGGGGTCAGGTTAAGGGAATTTTCTCTCCTGGGAAGTACTTCTGCGTAATGGATAAAATATAGCTTAAAAGCTGTGTTAAGTCCAACATATTAAAATTGAAGTCAAACTTACAAAAAAACTCACCTCTCTTCCCAGGGATTTCAGCATCCTGGTATGCATCCAACATAACAAACTACTATCTTCTGTTAAATGGGAATGATATTCATGGGCAGGGCTATAGATTTCTTCTTTTATTCCTTCCCACAGCACCTGATGCATTGCTGTACATGCAAGTTGCTAACAAGCTGGCTTTCTGGATCCTATTGAGAGGGGACTGAGTTTTCTCTCAGGTACCTTCTAAAGCTTGGCATCACTGAATGCTTTAAATCCTCCTCACTGCCTGAATGAAGACACACACACAGCCTTCTCATTTCTTTATGCTCAAACACCAAAGTGAAACGAAGAACCTACCCATCTTTTTACCAACTTAGATTTATTTCTTCCATAAGGACTTTAGCATGAGGCAAATGGGGAGCTGGAGGGATGGTGAAGGAGCAAACTTAAATGGAAGAAACTGATTCACTGTTTCCATGCTCAATACCCCTGACTAGTATCGATCTGCAAGAAATGGAAGTTGCATTTGGACCAAGACCAACAGGAAGAGGTCTAATAATAACCTTGGGCAGAATTCCAGTTGACCACAGTAAATGCCCAAGGAAACTCATGTTTATTTTCACCAACACAGCACACTAAGTATCTCCCTCTTAAAATATGTGTTTCTCTGAGTGTTTGAATAGATGGTGATACTAGTAGAGGAAGCCACGGATGTCTCTGGAAATCCAGTCATCTTTTTGAGCATTAGCGAGTGAGCATCCTACCTCCCAACTGACATAATGCACCTTCTGCAAGACAGCAGTCTCTTGGCACGGCTCCACTTTGAAGTAAAGCCTGAAATGAACTCCTGCTACCATGGCATATCGAACCAGCCTTTTTTTTTTGTTTGTTTCCAAGACCTTCTCAGTTGCTCTGTGGTACATCCATCTTCATGGAAGTGACCACTGCAGGCTAGAATTACAACTTCCTTCTGACAGCCCAAGGCACTCCTAGAAGAACTTGGCCAAGGTCATTAACCAAATCCTTAAGCAGACAGCTTTTGGGGTACCTGGGCCACGTCAGAAAGGGTTTATGGGGTATTTACTGGCCCAGAAGATTTGTCTAGGCACAATCTGAGAGTTGGGGAGATATGAGGACACCGTCCTTGCCCACAAAGTGTCCTCATCCCTCAGAATTGGGTCCCCAAGCAGGGCTATGATGTCATATCACCCATGAGCACTCAGTTTCTCTTCTTGACAGTCAAGCTTATGAGTCACCATGCATCATGTGTAAGCAAGTAAAGAGCAAAGAAGGGATAACAAGTCAAAGATCAAGAATAAACATTGTAACCATGGAAAGAAGAGTTCTCAGAAGCTTCAAACCTGAACACCATGGTGAAGTAGTAAGGGTATTAGATCACATCCTAAGGTATAAGCTTTATCAGAAAACCTAGGTAATATCCTGTTATTTCTTTTCTAATTTCTTTATCAATGTTATTTAATCTTATTTACTCCTTTCCTTCCTTGTATTTTTTTCCAATGAAGAATAAGGCAGGTGGAAAAATTACAAGTATTCCTTGCAGAAAAATGTCCCCTTGAACATGATTGCACTGCATCCTCAAAATCTTTATCAATTTGCTAGTTACAAGGATCTAAAATATAGACTGCTTCAAAGCCTGCTTATTTATGTTCACCTGCTTCCCACTTCAATCCCATCAGGGGCTATGCCAGGCTCTGTATGAGAGTCCAGAGATATGCTGATGACAAGACTGGTTTCTACTCCACCTCTGCCAGCAAACATGGACTCACAGAGAGGTCAGCACACTTTCTGCCCTTACTGCACCTGGTAACACACCTCTAAGCACGTGGTGCCCTTATCAACCTGCAGGCAAAGTATCTGTTCATGCATCAGCCTCTTCTAGAATCCCTAGATCACAAACTGCTCAAGGGCTCAGAGCTCAGCGCATGGTAGGTTCTTGATCATTGTGGGCTGAGTTAAGCAAGATCACAACAGACAACCTTCGCTGAAAATATATAGGCAAATGCACATAGACACAGGGCCACTGTACACATCTTTTTGAGTGCCAAGCTTAAAAAAAAAGAGCACAGTTCATTACAAAAGGGGGCACTTGACACAACTTGAGACTTAAATAAAATTTGTACTTAACAGACCATGATGTTAGCAACAGTTCACATTTCAGTACTTGCAATAAAGCTTTATGGCCCTTTATATACTCAGAAATTTCCTTTTCCATATCCCCAGGTAAAGTCAGAGAATGGGGAGCCAGTGCCTGCCTCAACGAATACAATGAGAACCATTTTGCTAATTGCTAATCTTTTTTTAAGAAGATGTTTTGTTATGGAGTCATGTTTCCTCTCAACTATGTGAATTCCAGTTTGAGAAAAAGTGGGAGAAGGAGCCTGTCCTCTGAAGGCTCTCTTAAGTCTTTCATGAACTTTAAATAACTTTGGAACTCATCGGCCACACCCTGCTGATGAGTGCAGTGCCAGTAACCCAGGAGTGATTTTGAGCAATATCGGTGGGTACTGGGAGAAACAAAAAATTTATACAATTTGAAATGTGAAGATATTAGCAAAGCTAAATAGATCGATAGAAACTACTAAAAGCCATAAGAAATGCTATTTAACATTTTCACTTGCCACTCTCTCCATCAGCTTCATTATTAAGTAGTTAACATGTGCCTTAGCTATTCAGGTAAAATCATCAGCAAAGGAGGGTCGAGCTCTGAAGTGTACATCTAAATGGAGACCATACCCTACAGTGATCAAAGTTTGCTGGGAAAAGGTGATTCTAAAAATTGAGTAGGGGTTTATAAATTGGCTGCAACCGCTATTTAAACAGCAAAATTTCAGTGGACCATGATAATGATGGACAACATGGCAAGTTTTCATCAAACGTAGATCGAAACCATTGCTTTCACAGTTCAACTTCTGTTACACACACAAACCTACTTTAAGTTAGACCTGCATAAAGAAGGGAAGGGAATGTGCCTCACTCCAGAGTGTGTTGTAGGAGAACGATCTTCCACTTGGCAGGTGTAGAGCTCTGGGTTCAAATTGCAGCTCTACCCCTTGGAAGCAACGTGATTTGGGGGGAAGTCAGGTTGCTTACCCGCTCTGAACCTCGGTTTTCTCATTTCTAAAACAGCAGGGAGGTGGAGGGATGACACTGCCAGCTTTTTCCTTGAGAGTCACCTCCAGGATGAGATGTCACAAGTCAGAGGGCAAAGCATTTCAACTTTCTTCCTTCTCTTGATTTCCTCTGCTGACTCTCTCAGGCAGAAGCAACCAAGGAGTCGAATAGTTAAAAGGCAAAAAGGGAAGGAAAAGAAGTGGGCAGGAGAGAAATGATACACAAACTGGAACTGGATGCTGCCTCTCTCTCCCTTCCCTTTACCCAGTCGAGGTGTGTGATGCAAATTTGAATACCGGGTTTAACTTTTTTAAAAAGTATGCATTGACATATATATGCCATTCAGTAAGTGGCTCAGGTGCTGAGAAGTTGTTAATATTAAACTGCCCTAAGAAGATATATTTTATAAAATAGAAACACAGTGAATCAAAGCACACAGCACTCGAATATAACTTCCTTTGTTTTCATATTTTAGGAAGTTGTTCTAAGGCAAGGCGGCCTTTGAACCTTTGTAACCCTTCTGAAGAAATAATGGATGCTTGATGGGCTGGCCTTGGAATCTGTGAGCCCTCATTCGGGGAGTTCACAGAAAATGCTACATCACAAAATACTTTTTAAAAAACCTCTTCCCAGGGTCAGATTCCATATCCAATCAAAATATGGCATCTCTTAACTGGGGGAAATTGCTCAAAAAGGATAGCTCTAACTAGTGTGCCACTTAGACTTGAGGGTTCAAAGAGAGGTCTCTCCAAGTTTCACAAGACTTTAGGCCACCGAAAAACCCACGACCCACTTGGTGGTTTTGATTCCTCCAGGATACACACTGAGGTGGTTGAGAACCATCTTCCACACCTGCTTAAGTAATCATGCCCTTGGCAGAGAAACTGATCACATTTGGGAGAGCAGTCACTGAGATGGAGGGAAGCTCTGAGTGCCTGGTTCCCCCACTTTGCGTTATTAAAGGCATGCAACCCCTTTCTAAGTAGTGAATGTAGCTTCCCCCAGGTTCCCACTACCTAAAGACCAACCCTCCCAGCACGGTCCGGAAATGCTGAGGAGTCCTTTAAAATGCACCTTATTTCTAACTACATCACTGAGGGACTCTTGTACTTATTTATTCTGCCGTCTTGAAACAAACGGGGAAGTTTTGCTTCCATATCGTCTTCGTTTTTTCCAAAATTGCCATTAGGCACCGAAACGAGTTGGGCACCAAATCATTTCTCAGCTAGAATTTAGAACTTAACAACGGACTCGTCTCAAGCTTTGCAGAGAAAAATAGCATTTTAAAACGCACTGTCGGATTCTTTTTTTTTTTTCTTCAGACGAGAATACACCTAAAAGGAAAAAGGCCATCCCCTCCTCCCAAGGCAGAAAAACAGCATAGCCCAAGCAGCCCGTTTCCTACCCAGCCAATACAATAATGCTTTGTAAGCCGAGAGCAGCGCCCCGGTATAGAAGCTAAGTATAAACAGCTGAGAAGGATTAGGCAGTAGCTCCATTCTCATTTACATGAAAATCCTCCAAGCATCGTTTTTCCTCGCTGGCTGCAGGCGCATAAGGAACTCTTTTGTGCCATAGCCAAGCATAACATTTGCATCCTTTGTCTTTACTTACCAGTCGAGGCTGTGGGCATGTGTGCTCTATTTCCTCCATGGTTTCTGAGGGAGGCTCATTGGAAAGGGATTTTGGGATACCTGTTTCTGACTCAGCATCAGTGGTAAGTACTGGCATGGCCAGCGAATGCTCCCTCCAGCTCTACACCCTCTGTGAGTCTCCTCCCAGGCAGAGAATGTTTTCTTTGTCACGTATTTCTCTCTTCTTCACCCATCCCCCTTCTTCGCCCCTTCTTTCTGTCTCCCCTGGGGGGGGGGGAGTGAAGAGGTTACCCCCTGACCCCCGCCCGATTCCTTCTCGGAGAAGCCAAAAAGGCAAGGCCTCAGTTTATCACTATAACAACCAGACGGCACTGGAGCGGCGGGTGCGGGATACAGTACCTCATTTGCATGGAGCGCGCTGGTTGGCTACTGTCATCATAGTACCACTCCGCCGGGGAGCGGCCGGGCCCCATTGGCTGGCCGGCCGTGCCCACGGGGCCCGAACTTGCTGCTTTTGTTTCTTCTGCTTAATTCAGTTGCAAAGGTCCCTGTCCACACGGGGCAAGGAATCCGCGCTGCGCTGCCCAGCTAAGAGAAACCCGCTTCCCGAGGAGCCCGGGACTGCTTGGCGAGGACCGTAACAGACCCGCGCTATAAGGAAGGCCCACGTCCCTGGCATGTTTCCCTGGCATGAGTGTTTGATGTGCTAGAGTCAGAATTTTGCTAAGTAGGAGTCACCCTGAAGACAAAGCAGGTGCCCTCAATTGCCAGCTGGCCTCGGAGGGCCTCTCGGGGCATTCACTGTGCGTACCTGCGTGTTGCGCACTGGCAGCCCCTGTCCAAGGCCTGGGGTAGCCCCAGAGCCTACCCCTGGGCTGCCCTGGGAGCAATTTGAAGGAGGTGGGCTCTCTGACAACTTGCCTCCCGCCTCGGGCTGCCCCCCCCCCCCCAGTTGCTGTCTCCCGCGGCCACTTCTCCCTCTCCCCGGCCATTCAGAGTTTCCTCAACGAACCCTTCCTTCTTGCCCTTGTCTGCCTTTCAATGCACTGTTTCATAAACTGGTCTCTTATTCTTCTGCTCCCGTTTTACCAGTCGTGGGGTCCATTTCCTAAGCACGCTGCTCTCAGCCAAGTGCTCACGGCAGTCACAGAAACCATCCAGTTGAGGGCTTAGTGATGATGTGCCTTAATGTCTAAATCATCCATGAATATCTCCCATTTTAAGAGGGGTGCTCTGAAGACACACACTCAAACATTTACAAAGGTATTCGTTCTAATGAAATACCGCACTGTTAGTAACATTAATAAAACTCATGGTAATTGCTAGCATCTATTAAGCACAGGCACAGTGCTAAGGATTTTACCCAGATTTTAATCTTCATTTGAACCCAAAATAAGTCGATCCTATTATTATCCCCATTTCACAGGTGAGGAAATTGCAATTTAGAGTAATTGCCCAGAGCCTCAAACTTATAAGCAGAGTTGCAGGGATTGGAAAGATTTGCAGGGGAGGTTGGGGAGGAGCCGGGATGTAGCAGGTGCAGTAGTGTAGAAAAAGAACCTTGGTAGCAGTTCTCTTAAGACAAGTCCCTGGGTTTCTAGGGCTTTTATTTTATTTTATTTTTTAAAGATTTTATTTATTTGTGAGAGACACACAGAGAGAGAGAGAGAGAGAGAGAGAGAGAGAGAGAGAGAGGCAGAGACACAGGCAGAGGGAGAAGCAGGCTCCATGCAGGGAGCCCGATGTGGGACTGGATCCCGGGACTCCAGGATCACTCCCTGGGCTGAAGGCAGGCGCTAAACCGCTGAGCCACCAGGGCTGCCCTAGGGCTTTCATTTTAATGTATACCAGTGGTTTTCATCCAAGTGTGGTCCAGGACCAGCAGCACCAATATCAGCATCATCTGGGAGCTTGTTAGAAATGCAGATTACTGGCCCCTCAAGACCTGATTCTGTAGGTCTGGAATGGAGCCAGCAACTGCATTTCTAACAAGTTCCCCTGATGATACTAATGCTGCGGGTCCAAGGACCATACTTTGAGAACCAGTAGTCCAAAGGATGGAATAAAAATACTGCCCTGCCTCCCTCACAGAACTTGGGAGATCAAATAAATATCATGTGAAAGCACTTTGTATATTAGAGTGTGGTATACTAACATAAGGGGCTTCATTTTCATTACTCCTTGAATAAACAAAGAGAGCTAGCCCTAAAAGAAAAAGAAAATGGATCCTGCAGCATAGATTTACAGTCTGATGGTTACAGATCCTGGCACGTAGAATGACATCACTTGACGTCGCTGTTATTACCTATGCTTAAGAGAGCTCCAATAATGCAAGGATTCCAGTGACACTGGGTCATCTGAAAAAGGGCTGTCCTGCCCACTTCCTACCTGCCCTATCTGCTCTCCTGGAAACACAGAACACCTCAAGCTGCAAGCTTAGCTCTAACAAGTCCTTCAAGCTGGCAGAGCCAAGCCCTCCATTACTTTTAGGAGGTCCTTTCCATCCGTGCTGGGGGATATGGGCGTGATATTGTTCATCTAATCTCAGTATTTCCTTTGCCTCGTGGTGGCAGTCCTCAAAGTGTGGTCCCCAAAGGAGTAGCAAAAGCAGCCCTGGACACTTGTCAGAAATTCCTACTCCCCACCCCAGATCTACTGAATCAGAAAACTCAGGCAGTGGAGACCAGGAATCTGTGTTTCAATAAAATCTCCAGGCTTTAGAGGCATTTTGCCATATGCTAAAGTTTGAGAACCACTGTCTAGAGCCACACGGTCTCATTGGAAAGCCCTTCACCCCCTCACCCTCCTTGGGTCCTGGGCCACCAAGCTGCCAGCTGGTTCCTAATTGGTCCTCTAATTCCTTCTCTAGAACAGGAGGCTCACCCGTCCACCTGCCTATTTAACAGAGATCTAGTGTCTACCGGGATCTTGGTGGGAGTTATTTTAACTTGGGGACTTCCTACTGCTATTAAGGTGATTAGCTGAGAATGACCAGTTAATTCCACAGTATGGAATTAAATATCCCATAACCCTCCAGGGTTTATGCCAAGAGAAAGGGGTTGGCTATAAAGGGATAACAGAAGGGAAGCTATTGGGGTGATGGAATTGTTCCCTGTCCTGATATAATGGTCACACAAACCTATACATGCGTTAATGTTGTTAAAAACTCTGTGGAGGATATTTGTCAGTACATGCTGACAGCCTTTAGAACGTTCATGCCGTTTGACCTAGGAATTCCCCTTGGGAATTTATCCCCAAAGAAATACTCAGAGAAGTACACAAATAATTATGTACAAAGACACTTAATGCAGAATTACTTACAATTGGCAAAAAAAAATTTCACAACTTATAGCAATAGGAGTAATGGTTAAACAAGATACATTCATATAGTATTACACCTGCATTAACGGTCATGTTTTCAAAGAAAGTCTAATGCTATGGGAACATGGTACCACGTCAGGTGGAAAAAGCATGCCACAGAATATGATACCAAAAAAATCCCAATTATGGGATATGTACCTGCTTAGAAAAAGTACTGGAGGGAAATACACCAAGATGTTAATAATGACATCTTTGAACTGTGGGATTAAGGGCATTTTTTTGCCCATAAAAATGAGTATATATTACCCTTATAGTCAGGAAAAAAGTTATGAAGTGCTGGGTATGGGGTCAGGGTGAGGCAGACAGACATTAGCACCTGACCAAATACAAAGAGGCAGGGACTCAGTGAGAGGAAACGAAGCTGGGAGGAGCCCTATCTCCAATTAGTCGAAGTAGAGGAAATGTTTTGGATGGAGGCAGGCTGTTGAGAAAAATCTCCAGGGAGCATTTGGGGACAGGGGTCCTAAGTCTCATACCCTCTGCCAGCAGGGTATGGCTTTAGTTGAGAACTTGTCAGATCAGTGCTGCCCCTCACAAGCACTCTTACCTTTATTTCTACCATCTGTCGAGGACCGCTTACATTCTTAGCACTATGCTTGGTACTTAGGGGATGCTTATAAGACCCACGACACCTAATCAGATACAAATAGTGGCCTTACTTTGCAGATGAGGAAACCAAGCCATAGTGATCAATCTTCACATCAGCTTGGAAGGGACCTACAAATGACATTATTCTCCCTGCAAGCATTCTTCACTTCAACAACATCAAATTGTTGAAAACACCATTCCCAAAGATCTGCAGGAAGAACTAAAATTCTCTGAAATTTAAATTAAATCTCTCTGAAAGAGCAGAAGCTGTCTGAGCCTGATCTCCCCAGTCCTCATTGTGGTGGACAACAGGTGGCCCACTGCCACCTGCCAGCAAATGCGTCCCTCTGTCTGAGGGCTTCCTCTGGCCCTGGGAGACCCCCCACCAGCAGCACCAAGGGGGCAGGGTTGAGGGGTCAGAAAATTAGCAGCCCACATCCCTAAGAGCTCTCGACCAGTGACTGACAAGAGTGAAAGTATAAACATCCCACTGCTCTCAGCCCTCAAGGGGAATGACCCTGAATCCTATGCTCCACGTGGACTCCCAGGGTTCCCCAATGGGACTAAGTTCCAGTTGCCAGAGTGGTAGCTGGCTTGACAGTGCACCCTCCATTGCCTGCCTTTCTTGCCTTGTCTTCCTTGCCCACACTCCTGTAGCTGTCTCCTCGACTCATTTCCCAAATGAACTACTTGAACTTGAATCTTTGTCTCAGGATCTGCTTCTGGGAAATCTCCCACTAAGACTATTTCCGTGCCCCATCACGGAGTGTTAATAACTGTTTCTTATGGCAAAATATCTTTTATATCCTCATATGGATGAGAATGAGCCATAACATCCTATGTAAAATGTCCATTAGCCTATTTTTTAAAGTAGGCATTACACTTAAGCTTTCTCTTTAAAAATACCTTTTTTTTCCCTTTTATGTTCCAATCTCTAATCTGGTCATCCTGCTAGAAATTTTATATACATTGGATAAAAGTGTTAGCTCAACCCGTACTGGTAACTTTAAATTATTTACCTATTGGGACACCTGGGTGGCTCAGTGGTTGAGGTTGAGGGTCTACCTTTAGCTCCGGTAGTGATCCCGCATGGGGCTCCCCAAAGGGAGCCTGCTTCTCCCTCTCCTTATGTCTCTGCCTCTGTGTGTGTGTCTCTCATGAGTAAATAAATAAAATCTTTTAAAAAATTATTTAACTACAGTTAGTATGCCCCTACATATATGATACTGCTCTTAATATTTATCAAGAATGCCATATGTAAAACCTCCCTCTTTCTACATCTTTCCTCCTTACCATCAATCCTGGCTCCACTATTTCTTCCA